CTCCCCTCCCCCTTTCTCCCTTCCCCATTTGAGAGGATGCCTGCAGTGGAGCATTGGTTAAGCCCAATGCCTGCCTGAACCCTTGCTTTTAATTGGGAAGGGGGGGGATAGATTATTCCCCCCCCCAATTGCCTTGTGAGTGGGAAAGAAAGCCCCTGTGGCAAGGGGGGAGAGCCCACGTATCTCGGCTCTTTGACAAAGAGAGGAGGGTGGGCGTGTGTGTGTGTGAGTGTGAGGGGGGGCGTGGGGGAAGAGAACCGGGTCTGAAATAGGACGAGGGGATTGGGCACACAATGCCAGTGTCTCCCCGCAGGCCTGATTTAGCTCCGGGGAGTCTATTTTAGACTTTGGCAGGCTTTTTCGATGGAGGGAGGCTGGCGTTGGTTGGCAGGAGCGAAGCCGTTGGGATATAAAACGATCAGGTTGGGTCGGAAAAGGCTGGATGGGTACCAAGACCTGTCACCCGCTCTGTTGACCTACCGCGGTTGGGCACAGCCTTCTCTTTCCCCTGCCCCACTCATCACGCCGGCGGCTTCCTCCTCCTCCTCCTCCTGCCCGCCTTCCTCCCCGTCTGTTTAATCTTTTGACCCGAAGGGACTCCCCCTGCGGGAGCACAAGGAGGGCCCCACTTTAGCCTCCCGCCGTCCCGTTTAGCCTGCGACCTCTTCGGCAGTGCGGTTGGCGCGGGGAGCCAATTAGTGCCAGCTGTGATTTATACAGGAGCTTCTGTGTGTGTCCTGTGGGTTAGGGAGGCGGGGTGGAAGGCACAGGAGCGGGTTGGCGATGGAGGGGGCGGGCAAGGGCAAGGCGTAAGACACCCCCCCCCTCTCCCCTCCGACAACACATTGTGTTGTAGGTCATCCAGCAGACATGGGGTGGCAGCGACTCCCGGCTGCCCCGATGGTCTCTCTCTCTCTCGCAGCAGCGTTGAAGGCTTTTATTTCTGTACTTCCTGTGCCGTCTGTCTGGGCTGGGACTCATCCATCACTGCCAATTGCGGGGATTTATGGGGAAGGGGGCTAAGTCTGGGCCGCCAGCGTGGGCCGGATCCAGCCATTAAGCACCGCATGACGTGACTTTGAGACGACACCTTCCCGCCCCCCCTTGGGAAGCGAAGCCAGGAAACGTCCCTGGTGACTTTGTGACAAATCTTTGGGTAGGGAGGACTCTTTGAAATTGGAAAAGACATCAGAAAGTCGCTTTGTGGTGGGTTTTTTTTGTGTGTGGGTCGGAGAGTGACTTTGCATCTTCGACGTATTGATCCTTGCGGGGGTCCGCTGTGCGATGGTATCGGTGATGGCGTCGGCGTCCTTCCAACCTAACGGATCAGGAAGCCGCCCCACGCGCTCATTTTTCTCCGAAGGGGGTTGTAAGTTAAGGATGAAAATACTTAAAAAGAAGTTGATAGAGGGTCCCTCCTGCTTGAGCAGGGGGTTGGACTAGAAGACCTCCAAGGTCCCTTCGATCCCTTCCAGCTCTATCCTGATTACATATTTGTCTGAAATAGTATATAGGGCCTCCTGCTTGAGCAGGGGGTTGGAATGAGAAGGTCCCTGCCAGCTCTAGTCTGATTTGAGTCATTGATTGAAATAGAGGCAGTCCTCGACTTACAATGTTGGTTTAGTGACCGGAATTAACAACGGCACTGAGAAAAGTGACTTTTATGACCGTTGTCCCATACCTGTAGCGTCCCCACAGTCCCGTGACCATAATTGAGGCAGCTGGCAACTGGCTCTAATGTAGGATGGTTTTAGCGTCTCCTGGGGGGTCACGGGATCCCCTTTTGCAACCTCCTGACCCACAAAGTCAATGGGGAGGCCAGATTCACTTAACAACCGTGTTATTAACTTAACAACTGCAGTGATTCACTTAACAACCGTGGCAAGAAAGCTTGTAAAAAAAAGAGGCAAAATCCGCTTAGCAACGGCGTTGCTGAACAATGGAAATTTTTTGACTCCGATGAGGTCATAAGTCGAGGACTGTATGTGTTTTTATGTCAAATAGATTCACAGTGGGGATAGAACAGGTTTTTTCCTTTCTTTCTTGATAGTTGGTGGTAACTCAGGTTGCCGGGATTCAGTGCTGAATTTTGGGGCCACGATCCCCCAATATTTTGGGGGCTGCAGAAGAAGAGTTTGATCACCTTGACAAGGTGATCAGTTCCTGATTCAAAGAACAGGCCATGCAATTTAAAATGCTTAATAAAAGTCGGGACTTTTGAGCCTTCCCGGTACGTAACTTTCTGGGTTTGAATTAGAATTAAAATTAGAATCACAGAGTTGGAAGGGGCCTTGCAGGTCTTCTAGTCCAACCCCCTGCTCAAGCAGGAAACCCTAAACCATTCCAGACAAATGATTGTCCAAACTCTTCTTAAACCCTTCCAGCGATGAAGCACCCACATCTTCTGGTGGCAGGCTGTTCCGTTGGTTAATTATCCTCCCTGTTAGGAAGTTTCTCCTTAATTCCAGCTTGCTTCTCTCCTTGATGAGTTTCCGTCTGTTGCTTCTTGTCCTGCTTTTGGGTTCTTTGGAGAATAGCTTGACTCCCTCTTCTTTGGGGCAGCTCCTCAAATATTGGAAGATTGCTATAATGTCACCCCGAATCCTTCTCTTCATTAAACTAGACATCCCCAGTTCCAGCAACCATGGTTTCCTGCCTAAGCAGGGGGTTGGACTAGAAGACCTCCAAGGCCCCTTCTAACTCATTCAATTCTGTTATATGGGCATTGAGATCTCTTTTATGCTCAATTGATGGAGTAGAGATCAGATGGGATCCTTCTCATTTTGGGCTGATTACAGATGGGGCTCTGCTTCGTTTAGATTCTAGATCGGGGTCTCCAAACGTGGCAACTTGTGGACTTCAACTCCCAGAATTCCTCAGCCGGCATGGGGGGGAACCCTGGGAGTCGAAGTCCACAAGTCTTTCAT